AAAAAAAAAAAAAAAAAAGGTGAAGTAACCAGCTCAAGGTCACCTTGCCAGTAAGTAGCAGAACAAGGATTCAAATCCACATCTGTTCAACTTCAAAGCCTGTTCTCTTTCCTGATACTCTGCTGCCTTCTCCTCCCAAGTTTTCCGTTACGTTACAGACAACTGACTTCTTAAAGAACTGACCCTTGGGTAAGGGAGTTGGTACTGCAACAACAGTAACAAAAGATGTGAACCAGAGGCCTTAAAACTGATTACATGTTTCCATGCCTCCCCTCCCTGGGGCACTGGAGCCCACGATTTCTTGTGGTTACCTACTGTTTATCTTAATTTGTTTCTTCTTAGCCACTGAAAATATATTTTGGTCTCCAAGTTGACAAGGTCACTAAGACGAAACAAAAGATATTTACTCAGGCTACCCGGCATCACCTCAGGCAAAAGAAAAGATTCTAGTTGGCAGGTCTGTCGGGATCTGAGCTTCACTTTGCTCCCTTCCTCTAACTTTCACCCCTGCCTGTCACCAATATTAACTGTCAAATGTGTACAGGTACCTGCAAGAAGGAAAAGATTCCCATGTGTTTAAGTGAATTATAGGCTGACCAACCATACAAAGAGATTTTAAATGTCTCACGTGACTTGTGACAAAACTAACTATAAATCTATTAAGCTTTAAAAAGTATAATAAATCCACTGCAATTAGGAATGCAAACAGAAGCCTATACAGCAACCTTCATTGCTACACAATTCACAATAGCCAAAACGTGGAAACAACCTAAATGTCTATCAACCGATGAATGGATAAACAAAATGTGGTACATACATAACAATGGAATATGACTCAGCCATAAAGTGAAATGAAGTCCTGATACATGCTACAGCATGGATGAACCTTGAAAACATTATGCAGGAGTGAAATAAGCCAGTCACAGAAGGACAAATACTGTACGATTTCACTTATATCAAGTAGGCAAATGTATAGAGATCAAAGCTTATTAGCGGCTATCAGGGGTAGAAGGGAGGAGGAGGAGGACCCATGGCTTAGGGAGCACTGCGTTTCTGTTAATGGTGGTGGAATATTTTGGAAATAGATAGTGATGATGGTTGAGCAACATGACGAACACAACTCAATGTCACTGAATTGTATCTGTAAAAAATGTTGAATTGGCAAATGTTTTGTGACACACATTTTTATCACGATTTTTTAAAAAAGAATCAGTTTAAAAATATATACTGTAAATAGTATTTTTTTCTTTTTGCTTTGGAAATACAGGCAGAGAGAAAAGAGAAAACGGGATTTCTCTGATCTATTCACTTTTCCATTTGTATTAAGTCTTCCATAAACTTAACATCTCACAAACAGCAGAGAAAATTCTGCAGTCATTATTTATAATTCATGTTATCTGCTTTGGTAAACACTTACCTTGACCAGAATTATATATTGCTTTTACAGACTTCTTTACTTTCTGTAGGGCTGTTCTATCTTGGTCGAGAGCCTAAAAGAGAAAACAAACAGGAAAAAACATTATGTTAGAAATTTGGTAAATTGAAAAATGGCATAATGGTGTTTGTTTTGTTTTTCTGAGTATCACAGCAACAGCAATCTGACATACTTACTAAGAAGGAACCACTTCAGAGACTGCAAGTGTCCAGAATTTGATGAGTCATGCCTTTAGGATAAATGCAAAGTCACTTCACAAAAGCAAAAAGCCCCTCAGTGTTACGGGAAATGGATAACGTGGTAGCCACTCAGTTAGCATGCTAAGTCATGGATAGGAAAGAAAGGGCAAGACCCCTAAGAATTCAGAGGTGTTTCCTTCTCTCAACGAGTTTTCAGCCTAGTAAGGGGGGAAGGCAAACATAAGACATAAATGACACAATACCCAGGGAACAAAACAGACCATTTAATGGTATTTTCAGTGAGGAAGAAAACATTTAAGAGGATGCTATTAAGTAAGAATGACCAGAAGACGTTATTCACAACACTTTTAAATTCAGGATTCCTTTTAGTGTTAAACATTATATAACTATAACATAACGGCAGTTGTATTTTTAAAAATCTCTTACTGAAAAAGCACAGCATGGAAAATGCTACCATGATGCTGGTAATGTTTTTAAATGATTTCTTAGATGACGAATCAATACATCTTGCACATCAATCTACTTGTGCTCAAAGAGGGAGCTTCTACAGGGCTGCCACTGTTGATTCCTAATCCAGGTGCTGGATACACAATTGTGTTCAGTTTGTGAAAACTCATCATACTGTACAGTAGGATATGTACTCCTTTCTGCATGTGTATTATACTTCAAAAACAAGTTTAAAAAGGAGCAACAAAAGTTGTGCAAGACATAGAGTATTCAACATATATACAAAGCACACTGAACTAACTTCTTCAAATCACTTTAAGGCCCTCTCTGCTTCTTTGCAGGGCTGAGGTTCCCTGGAGGGTGTGTCAAGATTTGGAGGGCATAAGCAATAACAGTAATAATAATGAACTTGTATATATAAAATTTAAGAACATTAAAGCACTCTCGCATCCATTACATCATGGAAACCTCAGAATTTCAGATGAGAACATGGAAGCCCACAGAGTACTTCTCTGAAGGTCAGCCAGGGAGTAGAAAGGTATGGAATGGGTAAACACAATGGCAGCAGGTATCTAACGTCCCTCCTCTGTTGGGATATGGTCTCTCCTGCCACTCTAAACAAGTGGTTCAACTGGAGCTGCCATTTTCCACTGGCTCTCATCCTCTGGCCACCTGTTTAGAACCTCCCATCATCTCACCTAACACACACTTAAGGAAATACTGTTTTACAAGACAGCTTCAGGGAAGAGATAATATTTAAGATGTGTACTTTAGAGAAAAGAGGGAAGATAACAGCTTTTAACATTTAATAAATGCTCAGTATGAATCAGAAAGGGCTCTATAAATGCTTAGTATGAATCAGAAAGGGCGCTAAGAGGTTTACATGGATTATCTCACTTAATTCTCACAAAAAAATGCTATGAAATTAGCACTATTATTATATGTGTTTTACAGATGAGGAGACAGAGGCTTAGAAAGGCTAGACTGTCCAGGGAGGCAGAGCAGGAATCTGAACCCAGGTCTTTGACAACAGAACCTGACCTCCTAACCATTACCCAACTCGGCACTTTAATGATATCTGTCATGAATTAAAACTAAAAGTAGAGCGTGCCATCACATGGAAGACTATCCACAAGTTTTCAGAGATAAATCTGAGTTTAGAAATTATAAGATGTTTATGCTGCCAGGAGCATCAGAGGGAAAGAAAGCAATGCACGTAAGTGCAAATAAGCACTCATTAAAGAGATTTCAATCCAACAGCCTTATACTTTGATGAACTGCATTTGGCAAGGGCTTTTAAAAAAATAATCCTGATAATAGCTGCCATTTATCTTTTATACACATATTATCACCATGGGTGGTTTTTTTTTTTTCCTGATGAAAACCCCCAGGCTTTAGAGAAGTAAAGTAGCTTGCTACATGCCACACATCAAGAGAAGAACCAGCATACGCTTTTTCAACCACGTTGTAAAAGGTACGTCCATGTTTCCTCGGGCTCTTACCACGTCTTAATTGTTTTTAATACAGGAAACAAGGTCTGCTTCTGGAAGAAGACAACCTACCAGTTCAGCTTTGGGAAGGTATGACCACATAAAGATGGGTCTTCTCAGAGAAATTAACGAGTGGGCTTTAATGTTCATGTACCATTAATGACTCTAAATGAGCAAAGGAATGTCGAAGATTTCAGCCATAACAATTTATGACACCATCTATCCGCTTCCCTTTTTGGAGGGTAAAGTCTCAGAATTTATAATAAACATTTTACCAACTCATCTATAAATGAATAGAATGTAATGTCTATACACTTACTTTTAAAGGTTATTAAAAACATTCTTACTGGACAGCTACAGTTACAGTTAAGTGCGGGCAAGACTTTTTTTTTTAATATTCTAGTGTCTGGCCATTGGCAAAAAGAAGCCGAGTAAAATGCACTTTTGAGAGCTCCGTGTTCAAAAGAGCCGGGGAATGCTGTCATTGAATCAAACAAGGCTTCCTCAAGAAATAACACATGTCTAAACATGGTACAAAGTGCCATTCCCTAAAATGTCAGACAAACAACACCTGCAGTAACATCCTTTGAAATGTCAGACCTGTAAAATTCAGTAAGGGCTAAGAGAAAACTGGCAGATTAATAAGGGCTATAAAATTATTATATCTTTCAATCCGTTAAAAGTATATTAAAACATGTACTTGCATTTGTAAGTATGTATCAGAAACTGAACAACTCAAAAGGCTGAATTTGGGTGTGAGTGTGAGAGAATAAATGAATACAGAAGAACATGGATATCTCCAATAACAGACTAATACTTGACCTATCTAAAATTTTGCAACACAGCAGCATTCTCGACCTCACTGAAGAACAGGCAGCTAACCTAGAAGAGTACTTCCAAGCCTAACATGGAGACTTTTTATTTCAGACAGAGTCCTAACAAGCTTGGTCTTCTGAATCCTAGGCATAGAGAAGACACTGCCAGAAAAACCAGACTGATAAAGAAGCATCGTCTGAGAGCAAGCAACCAGAAAGATTCAGAAAAATTATACAAACAGACGTAAGAATGGAAAATTCCTTACAAGTCTGGGGTGACTCAGGGTGAGACATGGAACCTTTTATACCGCCAGGCCAAGTGGTAGTCCTCAGTCACGGTGGAGTATAACAGATGTTCCTTCTCAGAGATGCACATGAATCTGACCACGCTTGTTCCCAGCTCAGGGCATCTGCACTTGCTGCTCCTTCTGCCTGGAACTCTCTTCCCCAAACTTTGATGGCTGCCTCTTTCTTATTACACAGGCCCAAATTAACAGCCCCTTCCTCAGAACAGTCTTCTCAGGTCCCCCTAAGGTAGCACACACATTCTCCCTCACCCTTGTTCACCTGTTATTCTCTAATACATTTCACTCTATTTTTTCCGTAGCACCATTGTGCTAGTAATGGCCACTGAGTTGGCCCCGACTCATGGCAACCTCATGTACGACAGAAGGAAACGCTGCCCGGTCCTGCACCATCTCCACAATCGGATGTAGACTGGACCACTGTGATTCGTAGGGCTTTCTACTACACCCTGCAATGATCCTGTTCATGGTTTGGTTACTTTTATGGTATAGAATTAAAGCACTAAAAGGCAGGGACCTTGTGTAACACATTCACACGTGAATTCCCAGTGTCTAGCAGATGTTAGATGCTCAAAAATGTTTGTAAAATAAAGCAATAAGTGACAGAATAAATGAATGAACTCCTCAGTATACTCAGCTTCACAAAACTGGAAAGTACGCAATGTAAGGCTCGCCTATAGAATGGCTGAATAAAATTCAGTTTGGGATTCAGAAAACATGGTCCTCAGTAATTCTTCTGAATATTCAAAATTTAAATGTATGTATGTTATATACACATACTTTGGATATGTTATCAGGAGGGATCAGTCCCTGGAGAAGGACATCATGATTGGTAAAGTAGAAGGTCAGCAAAAAAGAGCAAGACCCTCAACGAGATGGACTGACAGACACATTGGCTGCGACAAGGGGCTCAAGCATAACAACGATCGTGAGGATGGTGCAGGACCGGGCAGTGTTTCGTTCTGTTGTACTTGGGGTAGCTACTCGACGACAACAACGTATGTTATATGTATAAAAGACAGGCACATGTATCAGACATATGACCATGCAATGCTGAGAATAACCGTCTAACAGGATAGACAGAACTTAAACATTCTAACTTAAACATTTAAACACCTCAAAATAGTTATTCTGGCAACTTTCTTTTAAAACATTTCATTGAAATGTGATGCCATTTACATTGGATGAGAAATGGTAATACTATTGTCACTACTCATTAAGAGTTTCTGTTTTAGAATTACTTGCTAAATTTATAGCATCTTCTTCTGAATATACTCAAGTGGAGAAAATTGCTCTTAGTTTGGGTGGATGTGATTACTGAAAATAAGCATAAATCTTTGGAACCAAACCTGATGATATACTTAGAGAGAGGAAACAGTGGATGACGATAAATAGCATGGGCTTCCTTAGAGAGATGCCGCAGCAGACAGGCAACACTTACCTTCCAGGGATGCGCTGGGCATTCAATACAATAACGTGCCTAAAAGCCGCTAGCCCAGAGCCTTGCACAGAGCAAATATTCAAAACTTGCTAGCTACTGTTACCTTCACCTCTGAAGGTGCTCTAAGAGAGAAATTCCTGAAATATTTAGGAGCAGTGAAAGGAAAACATCTCTGAAATAAGTGCCCCCATTACCAATATGGGGGCCCTGGTCACGCAGTAGTTAAGTGATACGGCTGCTAACCAAAAGGTCAGCAGTTCGAATCCACCAGTCGCTCCTTGGAAACCCTATGGGGCAGTTCTACTCTGTCCTCTAGGGTCACTATGGGTTGGAATTGGCTCGACAGCAACGGCTTTT